CCTTTCATAGGGTGAAAAAGGAATAGAAGTGGGGCGATTTCTGTAAAAACTGGCGAATATATAAAGGAGCTTATTTGTTACTAGATGATTTAACATCTGATCGCCCCTAAAAAGTTTATAGCCCCTCTCCCTTAACCCCCCCCTCCTTCGAACAGGGAGTCAGAACCTTTGCATTTTTAAGCATATTTCAAACTCGTCATATTTTTTCCAAAACATCAAAATCGAAAATTTATAGTATAGGTACTGCAGTTTATACTATAAGAATTAAGATTCCATACATATTTGTTATCAGATTTGATTAATTTTATTCATATATGGAAAATGGCAAAAAACGGCCATAACCTCGAAACCTTCATTTCATTAACAGATTTGAACAATCTTACTTCATTTGTGGTAAAATATTATTGTTCTATCAGTAAGCTGAACTCTTCCCCTTTAAAATGCGTTTTTATTTGTCCCTGTAGGTCACTGGGAACAAAAGTTATTGAATATTTACCGCGTAATTGATAAAAATTTTTTCAAATATTTCATTTCTCGCGTGCAAAATAACTCGTTATTTGAGTCGTTTTTTCTGAGAGAATGGTTCACTTTACAAAGAAAGTGGTAAGGAACTTTTTTGTTCAAAATTGTGTCAGCTACATTTTTTGTTTGAAACTTTTTTTTTTCCATGCACAGATTTCTGGGAAATCGATGTTTTCCGTTTTTTACTCCCTTTAGGGGGCAATTTCTGAAGAAGCTCGGGGGTACGAGTGGTAAACTTTTTTGCATCTTTTTTGGAGACTACTAATGTACATTCACACAAAATTTCAGCCAGGTCGGATCATTTTTAGATGTCAGATCTCTGACGACTGGACTACAATTACAGTCGAATCCGAGAAGAATAAGCGACTGTGATTCGCCCATTTCTTATGGCTTAAAGCTTAAAACCCTATTGTAGATCCGGGGTTTGTACTCTCCTTAGCACCTTTGTCATACTGACTTAAGCCGGTTGCGCCTCTCTGATAAATCTACGACTCTAGTTGGAGTACGCGATGCGACAAACCTCTTAAGGCCCGTCTACAATACACGGAGTAAGAAGTAAGAGTAAGAAATTGACCAATCACAGTCGATTATTCTTCTCACATTCGACTGTGATTGGTCAATTTCTTACTCTTACTTCTTACTCCGTGTATTGTAGACGACGCCTTATATTATGCCTCTGACTGTAGTATACGCGACATATACTGTAGTATTTCCTTGAACAAAGCGGCTTGCTGCTCGCCGAACAATTAAACATGATTGGTTGGATCCGCATGTAAGAACCAATCATGCTCATTCACTAAAGTCGGGAGCACATAGAAAAACGTAAGTCCGTAAGACGTAATCAGTAAGGAAATCGTAAAGGCCCGTCTACAATA